GCTGAATTAAAGTAACAGCGCATTTTTTTGCAGTAAATATGAACATGGATTGACACGAAAATTTAGTAATTACACCATAAATGCAGATTATTAAAGTCTAATGTGTTTCACAGTAGAGCTGACTATTTCTGTCAATGGTAAGTTTGTGATAACGTAAGAAATGTAGTTTAAACGTTTTGCCACTTGCTTGAGCAACTTAATATATAAATCTAGAAGTAAATGCAAAAGTAAAAAGCATTGAATAATCTGTTGCTTATATTTATTGTGTTTAAACATGTCTGTGAAAGATTGTATTACTTTACTGTGTAAAAAAAGATTTGCAATGCTGACAAAGCATTTTCAGTGACAATGTTTGGATTTGAAATCAAAATAATGGATAACTGTTGTGTTTGTGGTAAATAGCCACGGATCAGTAGCGGAAGCTCACAAGAGGGGAATTCCCTCCATTTCCAAAAATGAAATTCAGGCCTTGAATAAATAAAAAGGCTTTAAAAAAGGCATCGGTAATCAGTATCGGCAGATACTACTTTCTGTGATCTGTGATCGGCCTCAAAAGTCCTGATCGGAGCACCCCTAATTCTAATATGCTGATTTGATGCTCAAGAACATTTTGGTCCATGTACTTTAGCCTCCCATTTATTTTTCCTTTTTTAACCCAGAAATGAAACACAGAAAATGCAGTTTATTCTTTAATGGTTCTAACTCTCATGAATAAAACAAGCAAACTCATTTTCGTTATTCAAAATTCCTATTTCATTAAAAAAACGTAAATAATTATATACAGCTTGTTTTTTTTTAATGTAGTATAAATGCTAAATTAAATTTCTATCATTTTAAGCATATCTACAGAGACTAAAAGCGCCCATAGCTCTACCGACATGGCTACTGGCAACCCAATGCTTTTTGAAAAACCATTGGCGTCAATAATTCAAAAGGCATCAATATTTTTATGACCATAAAGCGAGTTTCTCAAAATATCTTGATAATGTTTCAGGTCTAAAAACATATATTCTATATTAATTACATATTCTTTGCATTTAATCAGCTGCCTGTATACAGACAAGGTTCTACGGGGGTGCTAGAGGTCCTAAGTGCCCTCAAACAAAAGCAGCAGCTATAAAAATAGGATACTGGTGAACAATCCGTGTATCATTCGATCATTCGTTTTTTTATTTAATATTGAAAGTAGAAAAATTAGAAAACGGCTCCTTTTTCGTATTTTCGTTTTTTTCCAAAACACGAAAAGCCAGAATTCAGCTTAAATTTTCGTTTTTCGATCTTGAGTGGAAAAATGAATAAACAGCTTGAATATTAGATTTCTACACGTGGGCGGGAATTAAACGCCCCTTTCTGCTGATTGGTCAGCCGAAGAGCAAACCGTGCCTTTGCAGTATCACGCAGCAGAATAATAGTCCTCCTCTGCTGCAGTTATATGGATTCTTAATGCATTTATTGCAACTACATTTAGTCTTTTTTCATCAAACAAACAAGCTAATGAATAGCTCAACACTACTCATACCTGGGCAGAGTCTAGACAGGGCTTTCTTCTGTGTAGATATAAATTATATTCTTTGCATCAGCTGGGCATGGCAGGGTATGATATGACAGCTGTCTTAGCCTACCCTGCTCACCCAGTAAGTCTGTTTAAGTAATTAATTAATTAGTTTCAAAATAAATATTTTAAACACTAAGACAAAAAGGAAAGAATAATAAATTGGCTTGGGTAAATATATGCCTATGTTCACACAAGAACTGTCATTCTGACTGACAACCGGAGAACAACAGATATTAAATATAGCCTACTGTTAGAGTTATACAATGTAGTCTTGTGTTTTATTAAAATTGATTATAATTTATATGATATCTCAAAAGGATATGCACTTGTGCGCGGCATGAGCTACTGCGCTCTCGCACTGCAATGCAAGAATTTCATAAAATATAATAACTTGCCATTTCAGTTTGTTTCTCACCAAACCCTCGAATATACGCCATGAGATGCATAGGATTATTTTAGGACAGATATGCATCCGCTTAAAAAAAAAAACTAAAGTCACCATTCTCTGCCATTAAATTGGCAAGTGCGAGCAGGACATTTTTGTGTTATTAAGTAATAAGCCTTTAGAACAACATTAAGGTGAGTAGTCACTCTAGTTCACACAGTTCCAATAAATTGCGATGGGTTAAATAAACTCAATAAGCAGACAGACGTGACTAGATTCAAGCACAGATTAGTATTGAAGTGCACAGGAAATAAGCAGCAGTCATATTTAAAGCAGTTTAAATTAATATTGAGTACTGATTGATGTTCACTTGGATTTTTTCCCCATCGAGGGGAAACAACTTAATACACTGTCATTGCTCGTATGGTAAAATTTATATTTTTTAATTGTGTAACGTTACCTTCAAAATAACTACACAATGTCATGCCTTTGAAAAATAAAGAGAACAACAGAATGCGCTGCTTTAGCGCATCTCGGTCTTCTTGAGCATCTTTCTGGCGCATGCCACAAACATGAACCACAGGGAATACTCATCTTTTAAAAGGCTTCATTTAGATTATTTTACATTAAATGCATCATATTAATCACTTTGGAATAAATCACAGTAGGCCTATGTATCATGATAAAAAAGCGACTTTACATTCTGGAAATACTTTAGGCTATAGCAAATTATTTCTCGGACCCCCTATCACTTTAAGAACTGCTGGTCTACACAGAAGAAAGACCTGTCTAGACTCTGCCCCGGTATGAGTTGTGTCGATCTATTCATTAGCCTGTTTGTTTGATGAGAAAAATATGAAATGTAGTTGCAATAAAATGGGTTATTAATCCGTACACCTGCAGCAGCAGAGGACTATTATTCTGCTGCGTGATACTGTGGAAGAACTGATGACGGCACGGTTTGATCTTCGGCTGACCAATCAGCAGAAAGGGGCATTTAATTCCCGCCCACGTGTAGAAATCGAATATTCAAGCTGTTTATTCATTTTTCCACCCAAGAACGACAAACGAAAATTTAAGCTGAATTTTCGTTTTTCGGAAAAAAACAAAAACACGAAAAAGGAGCCGTTTTCTAATTTTTCTACTTTCAATGTTAAATAAAAAAACGAATGATCGAATGATACACTGATTGTGAACACTCCAGAGCTTCAAATGTTTCTATTTACAACGTGTTTTTGCAGCATTTAGCAGTGTAGCCAATCTCAACTGAGATCGCGATGAACTGAAGAGAGTGACAGCTTTTGGAGCACACTCTGTGGCGGTGCACTTTCTTGGATATAATCGTTTTTCATGGTGCTAAAAGGACCAGAGTGACATTGGCATATATAACCTAAATGAGCATTTATATGTGGATGTCACTATCATTGCAATGATAGTAATAACCATAAAAGGCAAAAATGTCAAAATAGACTAATTTCAGAAGCACCCTCACTGATTTAATTCTGAAAACGGGCCTGCCAGTATCTGCAGAAGTAAGAGAAGTTATGTCTTTTTTATACATTTCTAAATTATATTTAGATTTATATTAATGTTCCCAGGCCCTTCGCCTCAGTGAAGGTTTGACATTAAAGGCTTCTCTTGAAAGCAATACCTGTCGCTTTTGGCACAGTGACTGCATTTCTCTTGGACATTGCATTTCTTTTCGCCTGTCACAAATCTGGGACCGGATTCTGTCTATTTTAAAATCATATTTTAAAGCAATGTGCAATGTTCTAGAGATGGCTCTAGTTCTCAATCAAATGTGAGAGAAGCATTACTTATAATTAGTGGTCGACCGATATGGGTTTTTTGACAGCCGATACCGATGCCAATATCTTGGAAAGCAGGGTGGCCGATGTAATTTTAATTCATATTTAAGAAATTTGAAATCATTTGAAAATGGATTAAAAAAATAAATGTGTAAAATAAACATACTTATACTCTAGAAGACAAAGTATTTTTCACAAATAAATAAATATTTAATAAAAATATAATTAAAAAGGAAGTAAACACCGTAACCAACAGGGCACTCAGTATTCTGGGAAGTTTGTGTGCATTGGGAATCATATTATTTCAAATAAAGCCAAGGTAACACTCATTTTACATACAGCACACAGTGAAAATGACATGAATATGACAGTGGGCAAATATATACAGCGCAGCATAGTTTGAAATCAGTCACGAGTTTAAAGTTTGTCGATCGCGCGTCTCCAGTGAAGCTGAACTCTTCTCCTGTCCGTATTCAATTCAGACGGACCACAGGACCAACCATCACAGAACATGCGATCATGCAGGTCACATGCACACTTCACAAGATCTCAACCAGATTCGACTAAGTCTGCAAGGTTTGTGAAATTAAATGTTCATTAGTCATTCAAAGATTTGTTTAAATTACATAAATGCGTATTTGCGGAATGCTGACGGCAAACGAGAAAGTATTATAATTAGCTTTTAATAATAGTAAAGCAATCGTTATAATACTTTTTTGTATACATTTTATTTCCTTTGTTTAACAGTTCTATCCGATTATTAGATAGACTTCTATCCATAATTAGACAGAACTGAATAACAACAGCGAACAAGAGGGAGAATGTGAGCACTGTGTGCTCAGGCGCTGCCGCAGCCGTTCTCGGCACCGTCAAAATAAAAGTCTGACGCGCAGTCAAAATAAAAAGTCCTGCCTCGAACAAATCGGCCAAACAGAAAAACTTATCGCCCAATGCCGATATTTGAAAAATGGCAGATATCGGCCTTGGCGATATATCGGTCAACCACTACTTATAATCTGACCAAAGAAAACTTTTTTCTATATTCATTTGTGCCTTTTGAAAATGTTAATTAAAAAGGTGCAAAAAGTCATAAATAAAAAACTGAAAAGAAGCATTTTGTGAGTACGGTTCTAATTTCAATTCTGGTTTTCAACATAGCATTTGAAAATACAACAGCCATTCTTTTTTAAATGTTTTGGGGTCATGCTTAAAAAAAGAAAAATGAATGGATACCAAACTACACAGGCCCATTACTTTTTAGTATTAATATTGAACAGAAATACTCGAATACTTGAAACAGAAATCTTCTGTAACATTATAAATGTCTTCACTCTCTGTTTTGAACAATGGAACACATTCTTGATGAACAGAAGCATTAATTTCCATCAAAAAATGTTACTGACCACAAACAGCAGTGTATACTTTAAGTGGTTCAGTTAAAAATATGTAGGTAAATACTGCTGGTAACAATATCTATTGGGCCAAAATCACCCTTTCAATCAATTTCAGAACAAATTCAGACGTACAAAATTGTGAGATGAAGCAAGAGACAAATCCTGCCGGGTATGTCTGCTTGTCTGTTCCTCTTGCTCTAACCTTCAGACGGCAGCATAAAAGCATTGAGAACCCTGTTCTCAGCATGAACCGCCCACACCCCTCAACGGGTGGTAACAAGACGGCAAACAACAAACCCCACTGACCCAATTCAGCCATTTACAAAGCCGTTGATGGTCTCACGACTCAGATCTTACACTGAATGTCAAGTAAACATGACACAAACATCAAAAGGAAGTTTAAAGTTTACAGTTTTGGTACTGAGGACGAAAAAGATCTACAAAGGTACAAAGCACAAAGTCCACTCCAAAGAGAGTTCATCTCTATACACAGTCCGGAATTTTCTTCCTGGGAACATCACAATATCCCATATTTTTCATAATTCACGTCCAAGGGGACGAGGCCTGGTTGAGTTGTGTTAGTAGTATGTTGTCACTCGGAGAAGCCGTTTCACAGATTTAAAATACCGATACACATGCAATTTCTTCGCCAACTGCTTACATTCACAGAAATAACCAACATTATATGAATGTTTTTTGTGTGCTTTTGACATCTGAGAAAACGTAGAACCTCGTTGAGAAGCACTTGTTTAGTCAGTGTGAGCATTGCACAGTAATTTCCATTATATCAAGTTGCTTATGACAAATCTGCACAAACAGGAAGACAGAGCCAGCCACAATCCTCACACACAAACAAACACACTTTCTCAAACCAATGAGAAAAAAGCTCACCTCTCCCACGAACACTATGATGACGCAGTCGAGTTTCTCCTCCGCCGAGAGTTTATCGATGAGTGAATGAAGCGTCTCTGACAGGTATGACTTTACTTTCCGCTTCACCGTGGGGATGCCCATCACCATGGAAACTGCGTAGAAAAGAGAACAAAACCTCAATTCGTGCCTCATAAACTCAATTTACCAGCACATCATACAGTCATCACCTGGCAGATGACAAACTACTCTAAATAACATGAAATAGGTTTGTTTAGAGACTGCCATACAAGACGAATATGTGACATGGAAGTTGATTGAGGTTCTGCGGCTGAATTATTGTGGCTTGATATCTGAAATAAGAAAGAGAAGAGGCACCCAGAGTAGCACAAGGGTAAAGTGAAGTCCAGAAATGAAAGACACACAAGGAGGTGCCCAGGGCAAATGCATAACTCTGCTCTGTTGTACTGCATCTCTGAGCATCATAAAAGCAATGAAATTCAAAGAACAAGAACAGACTCTGACTCCTGCTACAATCAGAACATAATGAGTAATCAAGATCCTCAACAAGGGACCAATAACACGTGTTAACGGCATGTGAGGGATATTGCACTGTAAAAAAAAAAAAAAAAGGTATTATGACCATAAAAAAATAAAAAAAAGATGATATTTGTTACCTTGCCTTATAAAGTCAATGCCATATTTGATTAATTTGTTCCCTTGAATTAGTCAAATCATGGCAATGTTGTATACATTTGTTCCCCAATTTTAATGTAGTTAAATCATGGCCACAATTGAACTAAACTAAAGAAATAAATTAGTACAACATGACCACAATTAAATTAAAGTGAAGGAATAAATTCTTATTTTGGCCACGATAACATTTTGCAATATAACGTCATGGGGCTCCATACATTCCCCCCAAAAACATTTTAAACAATAATAATAATAATATTAATAATAATAATAATAAAAATGAATATGAAAAAATAACCTCTAATTTTTTTATTAAAATGTCTATCCATCCATCTATCTATCTATCTGAATTATTTTTTAATAAACATTTTATTAACATTTATTATAAATATAATTTATTTTCTTTGATTTTTCTGTATAAACAGTAGGACACACTGATAATAACAGTTTCGAAAATTTCTCATCCTCTTCTACAAAAAAAATAAATAAATACAAACCACAAAAAAATCTGGACATGATTTAAATAGCAAACCTGAATCTTTGAATATGAAAATCCATGAGATAAATCATATTGGTGATATGCATGCTTACTTAAAAACTTAAGCATGCAGACTAAATAATCCACAATGGACAGGAGCACTTTTCATACAGGTGCTTAAGTTGAACTGCTATGTGTTTTTGTGTGTGTGTGTGTGTGTGTGTGAGTGAGTGACAGAAGCTCTGTCACACTTCATCAGCAACACACAGAAGATAGTAAAATATGTCCTCGTTTTGCACTGCAAGACAGAAAGTGTTTTGAGAGGTAGCACCACGTGAGTAAGGAGTAAATTAGGTTGAGGATCAAAGAGAGACAGAGATAGAAAGAACACATTAAAGAGAAGAAGTTTATCAGAGAGAGAGGTAAAGCACCTGAGAGAAAGAAAAAAATAAAAGTGGCACATTACAAAAAAAAAAAGCATGTTTTTAAGTGAATGTGTATTCAACACAAGTCATCCTCTCCTACGCCACCTCTTCTCTTTCACAAAAGTAGCATTTGGCCTTCAGGCGCTCGGTTACATAAAGAGCCGCTGAGCTGCATCATTCTCCCAGAATGTTCTTTCTTCACTCCTCAGCAGCAGTATGTGAAGTCTGTATGCTTCTCTTTGAGACAGCCACTCAACGTGCCTTGAGACTAAACTACAGCAGATTTATACACAGACGGTCTCTAGGGATGTTACAGTGCCTTACTGAGGGAGAAAAACAGTTTGTTTGAGACAGTAGGGGGTTTCACTGAAATCCTATATTGTTGAACATTTTTATAATGTGAGCGTCTCTAAAACAATCCTCTCAGACTTCTCAGACCTCTTTTTTTATTGTGTGTATCAAGGGTTTTCAGCCTTTGCAGGTTTAGGGACCCCCATTGAGACTCTAAAGCTAAAGCTAGATTTACTCATTAACAACTGATAATAACTTTCATTAAATAAATTAACAGCATTACATTACATTACATAATATATTGCATAATGCTCATTAATTGAATATGTTTTTAGTTTTCAATTAAAATTCAGGTAACACTTTAGTATAGGGACCAATTCTCACTATTAACTAGTTGCTTATTAGCATGCCTCTTATTAACATATTGGCTGTTTATTAGTGCTTATAAAGCACATATTCTGCATGATCAGATTCTACATCCCTAATCCTACCCAATACCTAAACTTAGCTATAGTACTACCTTACTAACTATTAATTAGCAGCAAATTAGGAGTTTGAGGCAAAAATCGTAGTTTATTGTTTGTTACTAGCGAGAATTAGACCTGAAAATAAAGTGTGACCAAAGTAAATTTTGTTATATATTTAGGGGCATAAAGAAAATAAATCAGGGTGGTACAACTTTCATGATATCATAATGAAGAAAAAAATAATAATTACAAGAATGAAACTTTGGCATATTCCTTCGTTATTATTGCTTTTAAAAACATTAACATTTCTTCGATGCTTATTTGAGAAAATTTTGCCTGCCAAAATAATGTGGTGCGACCAAAAAAAGTCATGTGGTGTATTAAGCATGCAAAAACATGCAGAAAAAATATGTCAATGTCGAGAAGTCTCTTAAAATTTGATCTTTTTATAATGAGACAACGTCATTTGTAAAAAGTCAGAAACTGGTGAAACCCATAAAAACTTTCTGAATTTATAATTGATAAAAACACTTTTTAGCTTAAAATATATATATTTTACAACTGAAATTTGTAAATGATGGTTACACCACATGACATTCAGAGTCATTAAATGTAAATATGTATATAATATTATTCAAAAACTTTTCCTTGTATAATGCTTATTATTAGATCATTAGTTATTGTTCATACAACTGACATGAATATTTTAGATCTCAATGTACTCTTAACAAACAACTGTTTGCAAACCCGAGTCTATTTCGATCAGGGGGTAGTGTTGAGCATGAGATATGGTGCACAGTCTCTAGGGTCTGGGCAGAAGAAGATGTCCCCGTTTACAGCTCTAAAAATAGCCCTCTAAGCCACGATCTCATTGAGAAGAGAGGGGCCGCAGGCACAGGCACGAGCCAGAGCCGGTCGCAGTCTTGCCCACAGACGGTCTGGAAACAGGAGGCTGAGATTAATGTAGCCAACAGGAGTGGTCCGTCTGTGGGTTTGGAGGAGGCGGGCGTAGAGCACGGATGGGCTTCAGCTTTCCAAAAACAACGAGTTCTCTCTGCTTTTCCCATATGCTCAGAAAAACAACCTCCTCGTGTGACAGAGGTCAGTCACACAAGGTTTTTTTTGACATTCTCTAACGTTATTGTTGTCATTCACTGCATTCTGTCCCAGCATAGGATGTCGCTTGTAATAAAGCCACCTAGCCATTGCCTTAACTCATCTGTCGTTAACCCACATACTGCCTGATACAGTATAGTGCGGTACAATGTGTCACACAAACAAGAACAAAATAGAGTACACCACAAAAGAGCACGACAGCTCCAGGCTTAGGGTGTCGATTAGCCAGATCAGTGGATTGGTCACTACACCAAAAAAAAAAAAAGCCCAGCCAATCAAAAAGGGCTGCAAGCACTACAGACATTGAGGGGACATTGACTTTACAATATGCACATTAATAATCAAGAGATTCAGGAGATAAATATTTGTTTACATCCCTACAAATCACAACCACTATGTTTAGTTCTGGTCAACTTATGGATACATTACATACAGCAGAAATATACCCGGATTCCTGTTTATTTCCTTTTTTCTCAGTCTCATTTCCTTCAGACAATTTATCTTAGGTATTTCCCAGTATTTTAATGTTTTTAACTGGTAGGGCGTGAACCAAAAATGTGCTGCACATCATTGCACTGGTTGTGAAAGCAAGGGGAAGAGAAGCAACAATGCAAAATGCAACTAACCACATATTTATGCACAGATTGGACAGAAAAAGAAAAGGCAAGAGAAAACTTAACTTATATATTTTGCCTAGTGTTTGTTCATGTGTTGAGCTAGTAAAACACATTTACTGCTGTCCGTTTACAAAAGTTTTCCAGTTTTCCTGTCCAGGTCCAATTTAATTACTTGTGTTTTGAAAACTCAAAATTCATAATTACCAGTAGGGTTGCAGGAAGCAGGAAGAGAAAAAAGCTATGCAAAATGCAACTAACCACATATCCGTGCATAGTTCAGAAAGAAAAATGAATAAACTCAACTCAAAGGGAGGAGAAAATAAATATATAATGTTCAAAATGTAAAAACTGGAAGAAATTAGTGTGCACAGTTAAATACCTCATATCAGCCTATATGGTAGCTAATATTTAATGAATGAATGAATGAATGAATGATCTGCTATTTCATGTATCATTAATTTTGTCAAATTTAACAAATATTTTTCTTACTTTTATGATAATCAATTATGATATGCTAGGATATGATATGAGATATGACAACCAATCCTAATACCTTAATTTAAACCAAAAATGCATTATAATAGTTTTATAACTCAAAAGACTTCACAACTGCCGCGCTGCACCCCCACCCAAAAAAATGTTGGTAAGAGGCTACTATTCCTTACGTACCTCACACGTGCATGCAGAGGCGGACAAAGTACACAACTCCATTACTTGAGTGAAAGTACAGATACTGCTGGTCAAATATTACTCCATTACAAGTAAAAGTTGTAAAGACAGATTTTTACTTAAGTAAAAGTACAGAAGTACTTGCTTTTAAAAGTACTTAAGTACCAAAAGTAAATTTCCTTTTTTATGTCAATGCACGTAAATACAGAGTGATAAGAAAAAGAAAAAAATCCTGCTTTAAAACCCAGCAACACAGCTGTAGCTGTACAACTTTATAAACAGCAACACTGCTTTAACAGCAAGACTTATTTAACATCAAAACAAAAATTTTAAAAATGCGGTCTAATCGCTCTCGCTGTACTTTGATGTCACACACAGAATGGTCTGTGCAGTGCTGCTTCAAGTCCAACACCTATTGTGTTTTATTAGGAGACGCACAACAGTTCTTCTGTGACTTTATAGGTAATATTTTCACTTACACAATTTAGCAAAATCAGACAATATTGTGTCTAATATATACCACAATATTAACTTCTTATTATTGAATTGTTGTAAATAAATATCACGTTTGCAACTGGTCAGTGTTCAAAAAATGCTGGGAAATCATTTCATGTAGCCCTACAAGAGTGATTACTGATAAACTGTCTGAAAAAAAAAGAAAGTCACGTTTTAGAGAAGAAGAAAAAAAAAATCACCCACTGACTTTCAAAGCTGCTATATAATAACGACTTTCTACTTCGAGGACCTTGATAGAAATGTAGTGGAGTGAAAAGTACAATATTTGTCTTTCAAATGTAGTGAAGTTAAAGTCATAAGTTCCCAGAAAAAATAATACTCAAGTAAAGTACAGATACTCAAAAAGTGTACTTAAGTACTATACTCAAGTAAATGTACTTCGTTACTGTCCGCCTCTGCGTACATGTCCCCATAACTATCCTCTATCTATGTAACCCTCACTGAACCCAGGAGGGTTTGATTCCTTTAATGTCTGATAGGCCTGTTGTGGGTGTGTGAAGGAGGGACAAAATGTCTCAGGGCTGCTGGCTGCAGCTTCCACTCCAACACACTGACTGGGCCTGTGACAGCCCTTGGATAACAGCCGTGTAACATAATACGACAAGCAAGGACACAGTAGACAGCAACACCCCGCTGTTTGGGTGAAAATGTGAGGAATGGAGGGTGAAAAACAAACCTCACATGACAGCTCTGAGTCTTAACAAGGCTATAACAGTGATTAGCATTTGTCTAGTGGACTTGGCTAAAGAACAGTGAAAACTAGCACAGTTTAGTCATTAATCAGTGTTTGGTCATATTCAAAGGACATTCCAACTTCAGCTTTGATTTGAAGAGAGTCATATTTCAGTCGGTTTATCAGATGTTTGATAATGATCTACTGTGATTGCTGATGAATAGCATGTTGTTTGGCTCACCTCCGGTACGTCCCTGTCCCACCTGTACGGCAGGGTGCAGGCTGCCTTCATTGTTGAGCAAGTGAGGCAGATGGTGGTAGATATTTGGCACCTGGAGGGGCTTCCTGTGAGCCAACTCCTTCAGCAACTTCTGTGTCTCATCTGTAAGAAACCAGAGTACTTCAGCATTCTTACAATACACAGTGCTTAACAAATTTATTAGACCACCAACCAATGTAAGGTTTGTGCCACAGCCACCCTAAACTAACACTATTGGTGATTACAAAATATTTTTTTATGTTTCTGTATTGGTTAATCCACACCAGTATGTGTCAGTTGAGAGCAGTTTAAATACATTATCAAAAAAGGCAAATCAAACAAAACTTAAGACACAACTGCATTATGAACAGAAGTCTAAGACAGCTGTTCCTTGGAAACATAACAACCCCACCCCCTTTACATTCAAGTTTGGCTTTGTCTTTTTGTCTAATTTTCAAATACTTTTTTGATTCAATGCATTTAAAGTTATAATGTTATAATTAATGTATTAAAACCTCGTAGTTGGGTTGCTTCTGTTCATGGCTTATAACTTTTATTTAATCCCTATGGGAAAAATAAATAGTAAAAATTCTTCAGGAACCAAGGCAACTGAAAAAGTGAACAGGCACTGCTGCACTCTTTAATAACGTGTAGGTAAATAAACTGTTTGCTAATTAGAAAACAGGAAGCACCTATACAAAAGGATATATTTGTTCACACTAATTTTTGGAACATATGCCAATTCACTGCATGACAGATAATAATATGGTGATAAACTCTTTTGTGTAGATCCATGTTAACATCCAGTAACCTGAGAAGTTGGAGAGAGCATCTTTGCTGCCGTTGGTCTCTGCGATGGCCCGTCTGAACTGCTCGAGGATGGCGTTGAGCTCAGAGGAGCGCTGGAGGGTTCGGTGCTCCGCCGCACGCAGGCGCTCCCTCAGGGCGTGAAACTCCCTCTGATAGGCTACCAACTTTTCTACAGAGAGAAGAGGAAGGGTGCACAGAGAGAGAGAGACATAACATGAGGTCAGAACCATGCAGTGCCTAGATAACTAAAATAAAGTAGATGAAAAACTCAAACTTAAAAACTAAAATTAGAAAGCCTTGGTAACTGAAACAAGTTTAATTTGAGCTAATAATATGAATAACACTTAACACTGCTAGGCAAGCAAAAATGAGAGGTACAACTTAAACAGGTGATTTCAAATGACGGCACTTAACCAACATCAGGGGTAAGATGACAAAAGTAGAAGTCGAGTCATTGGAAAATATGCAAACAACTACTTACATTTACATACAAATATAAATATTAACACAAATTTGAGACAAAGAGAGACAACATCACACAAATGAATGCACAAACCTATTCCAGTATTATTGTGCAGCACATTATTTGAAGTTTTATTTTCATATACCAGCCAAAACAAGGTTTAACTTTCAGAATATCTGGATGTATTGAAATAATTTATAATAGTGTTTGTAACAGTATGTGGAGGCAAAGCTCACTATTAGTTAAGCCAGTGACACATCTTACCAACAGGTTAAACATGTACCAATTTATCTAGACCTGTATAAGCTTGCTTGGACATAAAATCAATTTTGCTTCCCATTAAAAAAAATTAAGAAGTATTTTGCATGAAAATGCTTCATTACTTTTCAAAATCATGTGACTATAAAATGAAAATCCACTTGCTAAATGACACTTAAACAACAACTCTGACATTACTAAATGCATCCTTTTGAATTTTTAGGTGTTTTGCATAAAACTGCTGCTAGGCTACAAAAAACCTCAATGAACATTAACATGAAATTGTCATAAGTTTGAGGCTGAAAAAATAACCTCCTAAAATGTAAAGAAACTACAGTTGAACTGTCCATAATCTGAAGTCAGCAAAAGCATTATTTTCAGGAACCAGACCTGCCTGCCTTTTCCTGATTGCATCATAGTTTCTCTGAGACATGGGGTTCCAGGAAGGTCATCTTTCTGCTGCTCAGCATGAAGAGGAGCGAGAGAGGAATAGAGAGAGAAGGAGAGAGAGAGAGAGAGCGAGAGAGAGATTGTGGTCTGAGGCAGTTCCAGTGGGAAGTGCCCTCTGCTAGAGCAGATTAGCCTTGGGTCCCGCCGCCTACTTTATTTGCAGACTCAACATGCTGTGAGTCAGACCTCACCCTGAAACGAGACCTCGCATTTAAGACATCTAAAAGGGTCTTGGGGCTTCATGAACAGACCTGCCTGCCTTTTCCTGATTGCATCATAGTTTCTCTGAGACATGGGGTTCCAGGAAGGTCATCTTTCTGCTGCTCAGCATGAAGAGGAGCGAGAGAGGAATAGAGAGAGAAGGAGAGAGAGAGAGAGAGAGCGAGAGAGAGATTGTGGTCTGAGGCAGTTCCAGTGGGAAGTGCCCTCTGCTAGAGCAGATTAGCCTTGGGTCCCGCCGCCTACTTTATTTGCAGACTCAACATGCTGTGAGTCAGACCTCACCCTGAAACGAGACCTCGCATTTAAGACATCTAAAAGGGTCTTGGGGCTTCAAGATGCTCAATGTTTTCAAACGGTCAATCAACTTTGATTTTTTTAGCGAATCCAAAAGCTCACGGTTCAATTTCTGTGAGGATGTTCACGTCCAATTTGCCACAAGAACATCAATTTGTGTCTAAGTAGAAATGTCAGACTCTCTTCATACAGACAGGAGCCTGATCACTTTGAACTTCTGCTATGACAGCTGAAGAATGACTGTTTGTTTGACCTCAGCAAGTCTCTCACAGGTTTCTTCTTGATCTCTCTTTTATCCTAAGCTTCTACAATCCCAGCAAGCTCTTCATCTTACCACAGAGGGGGGTTTGTAAGGATCCAGCATCTCAGCATTTCAGTTTCCCCTTCAGCTACAGTAGTGCAGGGTTTACATCCCGTGTTCTTGGCTTGCATTTCGGGTCTCTTCCCTTCTTTTCAACTGTGGGCTCTTTTGGACTCTTAACATACATTTTGCACTCTTACTAATTTATTAACTAGTAATTTGTATACTAAAACTGTCCAGCAGTGTAAGATAATCAAATTAAAACTTTTTCTGAAATGTCATGAATGCTTCTACATCATCTCAAATTTGAAACATATTTGCAAATAAAATGCCCAAGAACTTTATCTTGCTAAGACTAGTTTCATAGTTGCATATGCTTATTTGTATGTCGCGTTGGATGAAAATGTCTGCTAAATTAATGAACATAAAATTTTATTGTAAAACAATACATATCTTTAAACATTCTGTTTTGCATCACTAGAGAAAATTACAGCTTGACTGGAAAATATGTACCACACATATTTTGTTCATAGATTATATATTTTTTGTTTGTTTGTTTTCTTCACACATTACACTGCCAATGAAAAATTTGATGTAAAATTTTTTAAAGAAATTGCACTTATTCACCAAAGATGCATTAACTTTATTAAAAGTGACAGTAAATAAATGTTTAATGTTACAAAAATATTCTACTTCATTTGAGGCAGTTTCGCTGTTCAGATACAGTTTACACACAAAACTGCAGAAATATAGCAGTTGCTAAACCAGTTTAGATCTGTACAAGATGATTAATGCATGCATGCTGTAATACTCCATCAAAATACAACCATCTAAAGCCGCATGGGATCACAACAGCTCACTGTGCTCAATACTATATTACTGATCACGTTGAACTGTTACTGAACTTCTCTGTGGTTTGGGCAGGCAATCAGCCAGTGCTATAGGGAAACTCTCATATTCCCAAAGATAATGGCTTCAGTATGTTGGAGAGTAAAGACACTCCATCCAACAATATCAAGAGCATCACATTACACGTTTGTTAGCAGATCAGCAGATTTTCTTAATACATCCGACACCATCGGCAAACAAAAATGTAAATGTTAGGCCTGTGTGACTATAAAGAAAACAACACTGCCCTGAGTGTGTGTTCAAGCTTCTAGGTTGTAATCCGAATTAAGGCGGCACACTTTAAAGAGCTGCGGGCCTATTATATGTTAGTCTGTCACAGACACACACACACACATGTTAAATAAGATGCAGCATAGTGCTGCAGCCCTGGGCAGAGAGCTTGTTGAGGGCTGAGTGATGTACAAGAGAGAATGGATGTGTACACATGCAGCTGTTACCATCCTTAAGGGCTTTACACAACACACAGGATGACAAAAACACACAGGATGACAAAAATCTGAACAGCTCGGTACTCATTTTAAAACATCTATGCACACTGGGCTACATTAGACAGAAGAAATTAATACTTTCATTCAGTAATTCAACTGATCAAGTCATTTATAATGTTACAAAGGATTTCCATTTCACATAAATGCTATTCCTTTGAACTTTGTTTAATCAAATAATTAAATGAAAAATTTTCAGCAGCAAAAAGGCATATTAGAATTATTTCAGAAGGATCATGTGACACTGAAGCCTGGAGTAATGATGAGAACAATTATTTTAAACTGTAGTATTGTAATATTTTTAAATTGTAATAGTTAAATTTACTGTATTTTTTTATCAAATATATGCAGCCTTGGTGAACATTAGGCAGAATGTCTTTCAAAAACTAAAAAAAAAAAAAAATTACTAAAAATCTAACTCCTGAATAGTCTCATTTTCTCAACCCGAAGCTCCCTTCTGAGTACACTCGGACCATTCATGCCGCAAAAACAGCTCCTTTTGGAAATTTTCATGATACTAACGTCAGAACCTCAGCACTTCACTTCCTGTGTTCACATATCAACGCCTCTGCAGTATTTAGCAACTTCACCATCCTGAAGAACGACAGCATGAAATACAGTTTCACATGAAGCTAGCCAACTCAATTTAAAGAATTCTTATAGTTTGATAACGTGAATAACTTGTATAAATGATGGACGAGGCCGAGCTACAATCACTTTACAAGTCTGTTAGTCAGACTTCCCAAAAACTGACTGATATGATTTCAGGCTTTTACATTACAACTTATTGTATTAGTCTGCCAAAATACTGGCCTCATAATCACTGAGAAGAGGGGAAAATATAAAGTAAAAAAAAATAGTGGTCGACCGATATATCGGCCGATATTTGGCATTTTTTTAAATATCGACATCTGCCGATAAGTTTTCCTGTTTGGCCGATGCGTTCGAGGCGGGACACGACGGACTTTTATTTTGACGGAGCTGACAGTGGCAGCGCCTGAGCACACAGTGCTCACATTCTCCCTCTTGTTCGCCGTTGTCGTTAATAGTTCTGTCTAATACGGATAGAAGTCTGTCTAATAATCAGTTAGAATGGTTAAACAAAGGAATTATGTGTACAAAAAGTATTATAACGATTGCTTTTATATTACTAGTAATAGAAAGGCAAACATTATAATACTTTCTTGTTTGCCATCAGCATTCAGCAAATACGCATTTATATAATTTAAACAGATCTTTGAATGACTAATGAACATTTAATTTCACAAAGCTTGCAAACTTAGTCGGATCCAGTTGTGAGATCTTGTGAAGTGTGCATTTGTATCCTGCACGATCGCGTGTTCTCTGCGTGACGGTCGGTCCGTGCGAATGGAATGCGGACAGGAGTTCAGCTTCACTGGAGATGCGCGGTTGACAAACTTTAAAAACGTGATTTCAAATTATGCTGCGCTTTATGCATTTGCCCATTGCATTAATTAAAATTATATCGGCCATCGGGCACCCTGCTTTCCAAGATATCGGCATCGGCTGTCAAAAAAACAATATCGGTCGACCACTAGTAAAAAATATGATTTTTTTTCTAGCTTTTTTAGCATTTGGATTATAGATAGAAAATGCTATATATTAATAAAATGTATTTTTTTTATTTAAATAATTTTAAGCCATCCTGTGGTCCCCTAGTGGGACCTGGCCTCTTGGTTGACAACCACTAGTATAGATTACTTTTCTAATAGCTCTTTACTGCATTACAACATCATGCCAGCATCAGATTATAGCTAATTTCGCAA